TTTGAACACTGTCTCGATCCTACATTGAGGTCTGATGTTGTTTAAGGCTTCCACTAATATTATGATGTCCTTATTTGTATTATTTATCATTCTATTAAGAGGGTATTTTGTCATTCATACTAGTACTATTCCATATGTACTAACGTCCCTTTTGTCGGGGGCGATGCATCTTCAATAGATGCAGGTGGTTCCACAGCAGGAGATATTAATCAGTGACAGCGGTACATCCTCTTCCCAGCTGACTTGGTGGGCCCCACTTCATTTTGGGGTCATGTATCTTTTGCTCCTCGTGTATTGTGTTTGAGGTATAGCTGGGGCCTTGTTGCCGGCATTATCATAGTACTCTTTTGTATCTATTAGAGGCTCCGTAAACATAGTGTGGGTTGTGTATTGGTGCTGGGAAAGTCAAACTATGTTATGTTGTGGTTGTATTACTTGTCCATTTGAGACTTTAAAAATGATGAAACTTATGGTAAGAAGTTTGTACTGCAAACATGATCATCTTATTGTCTAATTAACGAAAATCTATTATCTCCATTCATGGATGAGTTTGGGTAGAAGGAAGTCTAATAGGCTTGCTCGACCGAGTTCACTCGGTTGAGAGCCGGTCGCGCTCCCCGGTTTTGGGGCGTGACATTAGTGCTCTTGACTCTTACAGTTTTAATTGTTATTTCTCTACTTCTTCATGTTACCTGTATTATGTGTTCCAATACTGTCTAAACTCCTATCAACATAGACAAGCATGACTTAAGTTACCCTGCTATTTGTGAACTCAAATATTGTACTGTTGTTGTATGCTTTACTGCAATTTCATTGTCAAATGATGTTTTAAGGATCCCTATCCATTAATGTTAAGTCTTTCTGTAGGGATTTCTATTTGTTATAACTGAATCATGACCGTGTCTGCCCTAAAATGTCATGTTAAGTCTTTCCTGTAGAGACTTCTGCTTACTATGTTCTCATGATTAAGTTCTTGACTATCTCTTACCTTAGATTTTCATGCGAAAGTCTTCCCTGTGAGGACTGCTATTGTTATCTTCTCAGAGTTAGTTCCTGAACATGTTGTATGTTACACCCTGTGCGTCCCAAGGTGACGTATAATGAATATGAGACTTAGTAATCATGATTTAAATGAGTTTAAAGTCATAATATGACTAGATATGATGTTTGGATATAAAATACAAAGTTTGGAAAAAATCGGATTTAAGTTGCAAAAAACCCGACTAAGGATTTGCCTTTTAATGAAGCTTTTTGGAGCAATACATTTCGTACGTTATATAAGGTCTTCTTGGTACATATTATATACCAAATGGAAAGTCTTGTAATGTAGTTTCCAACTCTCTTAACCGTTCGTTCATGCGATATCTGGATATAAAGATATAAGTGTTGAAAGAAGGGCCAATGCTAGGGTGCCAAACTAGCACCTCTTTGAATTTTCAAAAGTGGATATATATATATCACCTTGTGTCATCTATTTATTTATTTTTCCACAGACCACGACCGAAATAAGACCATAGACTTACCCTTAATCTCTCTACAAGGGTTTCAAAGAAGATTAACATCCCTGGTACGAAATCAAGAAGCGATAACATTAGAACGATCCCTACGATGTAAGTATCGCTATATCGCCTCTCGTTTTCTTTGTAGTTTGAGTTTTGGGAGGTACTTGATAGTTAATAAAATGTATACTTTCTGTATTTAAGCTTTTAAATATCAAGGAAGGTTGATAAATTCGTTTCCTAATAGTTAGAAATCACTGGACGGTGATCGGAAGCCATGAGTTCGATTTATTTCACTTTTAGTGGACTATTTTGTAGTCCACTCGTGTTGGCTTTATTGTGCTGCTGATTTATGGAGTTTGGAAGGATAAAGGGCATGGAGAAATGCCACATGTGGTAGGGTAGTGGGCTGGTCGGTCGTCGTTACAATTTCAGGCTAATTGATAACTTGTTGATTGGGTGTGTTATGGTATATTTGTGTTTTTTGTTGTATTAAAGGTCCCGAATTGTAGTTAGTTTGTTTTTGAGTTTTTGGTTGTATTGTGTTGTTATCTCTGCTATAGTAAGCTTGAGAGAGCAGTAAAATCAGGGAAAATGCTGCCCGTTTTATTTTAGAATCGAGTTATCGTTCGAGATACATGATATAGTAGCGCCATGTAAGTTATACATGTATTTCTTTGTTATAGGGTTGGAGCACTAGTTATCATAAGCTTGTTGTTGAGTTGCATTGACGTCTTGAGGTATGTTAAGGCTATACCTTATTTTCTTTTGGCATGATCCATATGATACAACAAAACGAGCAAGCACACAACTTTTACAAATGATTCTATTCTTACAAGTACTAGGGTTTCCTATGTTCTTGATTCCTCATATGTGCTACAATCATATCGTTTGTTCATGAGTCTCATGACATTCTGAGAGATCTTATTGAATTACTTCATTATGCATTGCATTCATTTATACATGTATATTGACCCATGACCAGAGGGCGTTATATACATGTATAATATATATATATGGGGTATGGAAAAATGTTATGGTGTTATATACGGACCAACACCTGATCAGCTGGCATACTTTGATGATTTTGCCCACTGAGGCCGAGATGATATGATGGGTTGCCTCGGAGGCTTGATGATGTTATGTACGCATATACCTATACATGATATGACATTTATACGCATATGCATGACATTATAAATGTTTCATGATTCACAGAGCTATTCAGACTTACAAGTTGAGTCCTTTACTCTATGTTTCTTTCATGTCTTTTATATACTGATTTTTTCTGCCTGACATACTCGGTACATTATTCATACTAACGTCCCTATTGCTTGGGGCCTGCGTTTCATGCCCGCAGGTGTAGGTGCACAGGCGACGGTCCCCCTTCATAGGATATTGCTCAGAGAGAGTTGGTGTGCTCTATTTGATCTGGAGCTGCTATTGTATTTTGGTACTATACTTTTTTATACATATATGGGTATGATGTGGCCCAATCCCATCATTTATACAGTTGTACACTCTACTAGAGGTCTGTAGACAGTCATGTATAGTTGGATAGTATATGGCCTTGTCGGCTCGCCCTACCGTATTCCGTATATATATATGTATATATGTCTTTTGGGCATGTTTTCCCGCGCATATTATTCACATGAATCAGTAGTTTATTGCTAGACGTTATGCATGACCTACACTTATTTCATGTTTATATCTTAGATGTATGCTTAGGGGTGTTCGACAGGTAGAACTCGGGCACTCGTCATGGCCCATCGGTTTGGGTCGTGATATTTTATCTTATTTTTCCATGCTAAGCCTTTCATGTATGAACTTGTATTTACTATCTTCTCGGAATTTTTCCTTGACCTTGCTTTATCTTTAGGTTTTCATGTTAGAGTCTTTCCTATAAGAGCTTCTATTTAGTTACCTTCCTAGGGTTAGTCCATGACCATATTTGCCTTGAACTTTTATGCTAAGTCTTTCATGTGAGAGACTCCTATCTGTTATGCTCTTTTTGATTAAGTACCGACTACTCTAGGAGGTCAATCTTTGTGAAGTTGTCATTGTGAACTAATTCTATGAACCTGGTAAAGCCATCAGATGTCTGTTTGTTCTGACCTATGTGTTATGTATACCCCTTCATGTTCTAGGAACCCTTTCATGATATTTTATGAGACTAATAGACTTTCAAAGGTGTCCTTGCCCTGTTTATGTGTTCTTCCACCTCTTAGATATCACATCCTAGGAAATTATTTAATGGTTCTTGTTCTTTGTTATTTGTAACACTAAGGATCCAATGTGCATATGTTCTTGCCTAAATTTGAACTCACCTAAATAACTAGTATGCATGGGCTTTCACTTGTTTTCTTTGTGATCATGTTGGTTGTAAATAATAATGGGTAAACAAGGTAGTTGCTTCTATGTTTGGGCCTTATCTGTTGGGCCAGGTTTCGTATTGGGTCTGAATTGCACTGTCGGCATGACCTTTGCACCTAGAGTTTGGGCATGCCGTCCGCATAAAGTTATAAGTCTATTTGAAGGCCCAAATGTGTTTTTGGGTTGTTTTGTATTTGTAATTGAGACAATGGACGGGAGGACTTTACAGATATTCTTAAATGAGCACACAAACAAGCTAGATTCGTTGTTTGATGATGTTTTGAAGTCCCTTCAATTGTCTCGCAACCCTGCACAGTTGGTGCTTGATGCAATGGAAGGGTTCTATCCTCCCCACTTGATGAACGGAGAAACATAGTTTGAGGGCAGTGTTGTCAAGCAGACTTGCATTCTTCTATTAGAGCAGTTAATTAGAGTATCACCGAAGATTCTACCTACTGTACGCAGAAGAGCAAGGTAACAGAAATCTAACAATAAAAGAATACAAGACTAGCACTAATACTACTGGTATGGGAAAGCAACACTCTCGACTACCTACCAGACTTCTATCTTAATTCTCGACCTCCACACCTTCCTATCACTTGGTAAGCTGAAGCAACGTCATATCATGCCTAATCACCTCTCCCCAATGCTTCTTTGTCCTACCTCTACCTCTCTTCATATCCACCAAGGTCAACATATCTCATACCTACTCAGAGTCCTAACTGGGGCGAAATGGTAATAAATTACATCCTATAAAATATTGAAAGACTTCCAACTAATTAAGACTCTTTGAAAAAAAGAAAAAAAAGGACAGCCCGGTGCACTAAGCCTATGCGCGGGGTCCGGAGAAGGCCGGACCACAAGGGTCTATCGTACGCAACCGTACCCTTATTTCTGCAAGAGGCTGTTTTCACGGCTCGAACCCGTGACCTCCTGGTCACATGGCAGCAACTTTAACAATTACGCCAAGGCTCCCCTTCAAATTAAGACTCTTCGAGAACGAACACAATATGATCAAACTATTTACTATAGAGAACATATCCAAAAGGCCATAAGAATATGAACTGGTTGACCAAAATATAATAGTAATGCGTGAGAGAGCTGAATAAAGTTGAAATGAAAACCAACCTATAACCAGTAGCTGTTATCATACTTGGTCTGTATGTGCATATGCATGAGAGAGAGAGAGAGAGCATGCCTGGGATCTTATCTGCTAATCTTTGGATTTTGAACAGATTAATTGCCCTTCTAGACTGGTAAACAATCTCCAATAGACCTAGAAGCTCATCTGAATCATAAGAGGATGACAATTCAAAAGTAGCTAAAAGTTGCAAAAAGCCAATGACCTCTGAATGATTCAGCTGCGATCCGGTCAATGTTTCTCGCCACTCAATAGCAAGCACAATTGCCTCTATTTTAACCTGAGTTGTTATTTCTGGAGAAACTTCTCTCAGATGTTCCAACAAATCAGAGAACCTCTTCATAAGTGATGATGGGCCATATTTACACTTCCGCAAGTTGGCAGAACGACATTTCCGCAATGCATCTAAGACAACCTTTGCAGGATCTGATGCACAATGAATAAAACTTAAGGAACAAGCAGAGGTTAAATCGCGTGCCTTGCTTTTCAATTCCACATTGTCGCAAAGAGGTTCAGTTTTAGAGGGATCCATAGATTTCTCAGTCTGGGGATTTTCTCCTGAGAAGGTAGAATAGAACACATGATGTCATTAATATTCCACAATAATAAATGTGCCACACAAGACTGGCCACATATGAATTCTTATGAGAAGTATTACCTGCAATACCCAGAAATTCTGATATGCATTCTCATCCTGTGCTACAGTGTGGCACAAACTCTCAAGCTCATATTTATCGAAGGAAGATGCCAAGCCATAGGCACCTACTAGAAGCAAAAAACCCAATATTGCTAGATAGTTTTCTGTTTCAGCTATCATCTTTGCTTTCCAGTCAAATGCAAGCTTGCGTTCTTCCAGTTTGGCTTTTGGTTTAATCTCTGGTGAGAGCCTCATCAACTGTTCCAGTAGAAATGCAACTTTTCCTGATAACACTACGATCAAATAAAATTTCTTCATTATGAGGTTCTGGAGTATAAAATCCTTCAAGTGCTTCCAATACAAGTAATCCTGAGTCACATGACATTTTGAGAGCTCTAGATATTTCAATGCGCAACAACTCATGCTCATTCCAATGATTGTATAAAAAATTCTGCAAATTCTTTCCGCCCATGCTCACAAGGATGGCAGCCATAGCATCAGAATGACCTAACATGCAAGTGGAGGCCGTTCCAGAGAATGAGGTAGAGCTGAGGGTCTTGGTATCAGTGGGGACAGATGGACTAATTGATACCACCTGTTTCAGCTGAGCCTCAGAAATGACAGATGATGCGGTTACATCTGCCTTCTGCCTTGTGAGAGATTCTATACACTCTTCAAGCTGTGAAGGCGGGTATTGAGATTGAAGCTCGTGATCCATAATGCATCTGATAACAGCTTTAATGGAAGCTACACTCTGTTCAATGGCTTCATTCTGTACGCAAAAGATAAGATCAAGCATTTCAAAGAAAAGATCTATCCAGCAAGATATTATAAGAGAAGTGACAAATGTGGTAAAAGACCTTTTCTTTGACTGAGCACGTTTCTCCAATACAAACGCACTCAGAAATCTGCATAACTTGTTTCAAGTAGTCTTTGAGAATAGGTATTGGTAGGAAATGGCCTGTTAGCTCAAAAGCATAAGCATATTCAACAGCTTCAAGATGCTTTTGCTTGGCTATGAGGTTCTGGATGAAACCTATCATGAATATGATTTAGTTGTCAAAGTTTCCTAATTACCTTTGAATAAATGGAATGACAATAATCTGCTCACATTTAATCCATCACCCGATAACATGCCATTCTACGAATATCCACAATGCAGCCATACAATAATCAACAATTCTACCAAGGCATCTCAACTGTTTGAAGATGGAAAAAAACGCAATGTTAAGAAAACTCAACACTTCCAGAGGAATTGGCCACTTAAAGTCAGAGCAATTTCTCTTTCACAGTTGCAACACAATCTACTAGTTCCTCGTCATTTTGGATCAAGCTTTAGTGGCCCCAGATCAATGCTAATAGTAAAAGGAACCTAGCCACACTCCCACCATGGTAGTACACACACCAAAGCTGATCGAGCAAGAGAAGATTGGGGAACGCCTTTTGGAGGAAATAGGATTTGAGCATAAGCAGTTGGAGAATTTTTGCAAGTCTAGTTTTACGGAGATTTGTATGAAGGCCAAGGAGTTTGAGGAGCTTTTGGAGAAGTTGAATAAGATTCAGAGTTTGATTCGCAAAGAATCAGATGTCCTTCAGTTGAAAGAGAGAAAATTCGCTGAACGAATGGAAGAATTTCAAGTTAAGGAAAATAATTTACAATCGACGGAGAAGGAACTTGAAATAAAAGTAAGGAGCTTGGACACCGTGAAGAAGGAACTTAGAGAAAAGGAACATTACCTAGATTCCATTCAGAAGGAACTAAGAGAGAAGGAAACTACTTTGGATTCTGTAAAGACGAAACTTACTATCAAGGAAGACCACCTGACCTCAGTGAAGAAGGAACTGGAGGACAAGGACAAGGGTCTGGATACAATTAAGAAGAAACTTGAACTCCGCGAGCAGGACTTGATTTTTTTTCGAGGAATTACTCCAACTAAGGGAGGGAGGGCTCAATTCTATTCAAGAGGCATATAGGCAGCGATCAGAAGATCTTGATTCTAAGGAGAAGAAACTGGATTTGGTTCATGGTGAGTTTCAATTAGAAAAGGAAAAATTCCAAACAGAACAAGGATTATTCAAGAAAAAACTGAAAGATGTAGCACTTAAAGAGAAATAGGTTGAGGTGAAATTTAGAGAGCTTGAACAAAGAGAACAGCACATGGAAGATCGGTTTAAAGTGCTTGAGGATAAAATGAAGCAACTGAAAACTATTGGTATTGTCCCTGAGAAGACTGAGTCTATTTATTTTTACAATGTAGAAGTGGAAAGAGTTGGTGCTATCTCTAGTAACTATTCTATTTGATCTATAATAACTTTTAAAAATAGATGATGGGGAAAATAGTTTAAAGCGGGGCTCGAGGTAGTTTAATTCCTGCGTAAATGGGTTTAAAGCTTGCCAATAGGACCAAATAATCTTACCTGTTATTTTTCCATCATGCTTTACTTCTGCGTATGAACTGTTAATCGATACCATGCTTATAGGATTTTCAATTTTAACTTCCTCACTTAGAAATCATGATTTAGGACCTCAAACAATTGGCAACTAAACATTGCCTACGTGATTTACGCTATTGTTTAAAAAACATGCCTATAGGACCTATTTTGCGTTCACTCATTAACTCTTTGCAGCTACACTTAGAAATCATGTATTAGGATTCAACATTTTAACATCATGCCTACAGAATTTTATTAATTAGTTCAACTGCTCGTGGTACCAATTATGCTCCTAATATTTCACGCATAGAAATCATGGCTATAGGAGGCATAAACCAGAACTTGTATCACTTAATTGCTGTGTCACTTTGAAAACAGTCTGAAACATGATCATTTAGAAATCTTGCCTATAGGACTTAAATAGTGAAGTCTGCCTTATCTGATTATCCGTGTATAAATCCTAAATTTGATTAATTACAACTGATCGTATGCGATTCCACATAGAAATCATGTTTTAGGACTAATTAATTCAATGAGCACTAGCTCATGACTACCTCACTTAATCTCGCGACTAGAAGAGCATGTTCATAGTGCAATTCGATTATCAATTCTGCCACTTCTCCATAACTATTAATCGATATTTGTTTGACATTCATGCGGGTCTATTGTGGAGGTAAACAGGAGCCCTTTGCACAATTGTACTTTTTGTGAAGTCCTATTTTTTAAAATTATGTGGCGCATAATGTTTTAATTTTGAGCAGCCTAGGATGAGTCTAGAACCATACATATAGCGGTCCAATACCTCATGGACCATAGGCATGGGCCGGGTAGGCATATATAGGGTACAACTTAGAATTGAATTAGTGCACTTTAGGTAAACAACTTAAAGATAGTAATCGGGTAGTTGGAGATGATAGTCTGTGCTCGATGGATAATATGAGCAACCATTGCACTTAAANCTAATTGTTCCTTGTACCTTTAGTTGAGGAATTTAGGTTTATCTAGGTTTTACATCTTGTAGCTGAAAGAGTTGTACCCATTAGTTTATTAATGAGTGAATTATATTCTTTCAAATTATTTCCTTTACATTACTTGTGTATTATTTCACTCGATCAATTACTTCATCTTATTCCACCTAGAGTAACTAATCATTTACTTACACTCTTTTATTCCCTTAATTTAATAATGGATTAATTTTTATGCTCACCTAGAATAATTATTTACGATTCGATTAATCCCACATAGTTTATAATTCAGCCGAAAATCACAGTTGTGGACCTCGAAAAGTACCTAACACCTTCTCTTTAAGGTAATTTGATCCCTTATCCGATCTTGGTAATACGGACTAGTGAAAACAAAGTTATTTGTAAATAGGTGACCTAACACACCTTAAAAAATCGTTAGGTGGTGACTCTTCTCTTTTGATACCCGTTTAAAAGAGTTTTCTCGTGTCGAAACTCGTTCTCATGAGTAAACATGGTGTGACAACATGGCGACTCTACTGGGGATATACTTAGATTTCTACCATAACAAAGTTTTGCCTGTGTGAAATTGTTTATTGAATTACTTTATTTGGTTTCTTTCATGTACCTCCCTTTCACCGTCCCTTTCTGCTATCCTTTATTTGCTTTATTGATTTAATCATGCTTTTGCATTTTGTGAACCATGCTAACTATTTTCCTTGTCTTTTCTTTTCCTTTTCCTCCTTACTCATTTTTATCGCATTATCAAATACTGTCTTTATGTGTTTTTTACCATGCAAAATTACTTGACTTTATGTTATCGCTTTTTCCATAAGCATGCTTTCAACATCATATTTCACTCGTGCCTATTATCAACATAGCGGCACTTGATGAGTGTCTGTACTTTCTGAAAATACCCCTTTTTAAATCGAAAAGGCTTATTAGCGATAGACTAGTCAATCAACAATGTAGTCGACAGTCCCGTTCCTTTCCCTCTCAAGTTGTTCGCTTGAGAGTAGTGGTTTAGATCCCTTAGAAATCCACTATGACAGAAATTTTACATGCATCATGTTAAACCTAGGATGCATTAAATACCCATGACGTATTAAATCCGTTTAGATAAACCTTGTCCAAAGTCCAAAGGGATTCCTGAGAGATACATTCATACTATGTGTATTACTTGGAGAAAATGTGGTAACATGTTGACTATTGTCGCTTAACTAATCAAATTAGGAGGGGGTAGGGCTAACTATTTTCTTCAATATAAAAAATAAAGCACGACATTCCTTGGTTCGGTATGGTCGAGAACATCCCACCCAAGTTGATTGATTGGTGGAACGACCTCCCTCAGTGTGATCGGAATCATGTGAGAAGGATAATGGGTAATTTCCCATCCCTGATGGACATTCGGCCGAGCAGGGAATTGATCGAGGTTGCTACAATATTTTGGGATAAGAAAAGAGCCGTCTTTTGATTCGGAAACTTGGAGATGACCCCGCTCTTGGAGGAAATTGGAGGTTTAGCTAGACTCTTCTCGGATAGTCCAGGTTTGTTGGTACAAAAAAATCGTACACCTTGCGGTTTATAAAATATGTGTGGGATCAAGAAGAATGATGAACTAGGCTACCTGAAGAAGTCTTAAATTCTCTTTGACTTTCTGTATGAATGGTATGGACATAGCAAATAATACCGGTTGTATCATTAAGAATTGGCCATCACTTATGTTGGGTGGATTCATCGTAGGGTTAATATTTTCATTGTAAGTTTTTTGCGGCTGCTGATCTTCCCGATGCAAGGAGGGAAAACTCATACTCGGCTAGCCATGGTTGCCAGAGCCATGATGGAGAGAATCAAGAGACACACTTACACTATTGTCCCTATGATACTGGCAGAAAAGTATCGAGCATTGGACCGATGCAAGTATGGGGAAGGCTACTTTGAGGGGAGCAACCTTCTGTTGCAAATATGGTTGATAGAGAACCTCTAAAAGGGTAACTACTGTCAGGAATTCCTTCGTAGGTTGATGAATGACTATATTGCCAGCCACCATCCAAAGAAAATGACCTTTTCCTCCTGAAAGGTTTGCAAGGCCCACAAATGCTTAAGGATGGGTACACCTCTTCAGCAATCTGACTGATGAATAGGTACACTAGATGATCTAATGGGTTACAAGCAAGTAGTTCATAATCCGCTCCAAGAAGGGGGACGTCATCCCTTTTAAGTTTGAATCTCAGCATATGTGGGATCAGAAAATCATTGTGGAAAAGGAGATCATAGAGCCCGATAGGTATCATGTTGGACACATGTAGTATTACCTTTCATGGATAGAAGATGACATAACCGGGGATGTCAAAACATGAATCAATCTAAAGGGAAGGATTATAGATGAAGAGGCTAAAGCTCAGGTGAAGTACAAAAGGTTGTGCAAAAGGGTCTTCGCATCTGAAGCCAAGCACATGGAGCAATACAAGACATATATGGAAGCGATAAAAGAATGGAGAGAGATAGCAAACAAAGCGACGGAGAGGTTGGAGTATTTGGAGTAGGGATTGATGAAGTTTGAGGGGAAAATGAGGAAAAGACTCTGGACTACCAGGGTATGAGTTATGATGAAGGGGGAAAACAAGCAATGGCCTACTTGTTGCATGACTTGCGTGACTTCTGGTACAT